CATGTAAAAGTCAATAAATATAATTATAGTGCCTATTACTACAACCTGTCAATATTGCACTTTTACTAGTTGCTATAGATAGTTGGTAATATTATAGTTACAAAATCCTTTGTCATTGATTAAATATTTTCATTTAGATGTTAACAGTTGAATATAAAATAATAAAAAACAATAATTAATTAATACATCCTAGAACACTGATGCGAAGAGTCAACATTTTAATTAAAATTTCATTATCATTTTAATTATTAAAAGCTATATGACACATACACACGGCAGCATCAGCTTGGGTATAAATCATCTCCAGGCCATTCAAATTATCTAAAAAAAATAAAGCATTTTGTATTCAAAAACATAATTTATGAATTGTTATAAGTAATTTATAAACTGTTATAAGTAGAAAGAGACTAAATTACCCAGTGCTTATTGCATTACTAGAATTATTATTAAATAACAACAGCCACAGATTTATGATCCCAGTGTTGGTTCTAGCAAAATTGATAACTTTGATCATATTAAGGATGGCACCAGTGGTCTGTGGTTCTGTTTTCTTATTGGCTCATAGTAGTTACATAATGTGGGGATAAAAAATCAGTATAAATGCTGATTGTAGGTCCTTGAATCTATTCTTATTATAACAAAGTTTCACACTTGAAAAAGGGAAGCTGATCTCAAGTCAGCACCTCAGAAATGCAGGATGTCCGGGTATTTAGTGCTCACACACTCAGTTACAGCCCTCAGTATCTGTGTTTGTGTGTGAGAGCTTGTGTGTGTATGGTGTGTGTGTGTGACACGCATTGTTTATCACATTTTGCGTAAAGTGCAGCAGTTCAAGTCTGGGTCAGCAGGAGTAAATCTTTAGGTGGGTGGTGTTTGCTATGAACCCTGGGAGCCTCCTCTGACCTTTGTGTGTGTTTGTATGTGTGNNTGTGGGTCAGTGAGTCTATGTGTATGTTTATAGCCACTGACAAGCAGGAGGGGGAGTGTGTGTTTGTTAGGGGAGCGGGGAGGGGTAGTGGCGATAGATTAGCCAGGTTGGGATGATTGGGTTGAGGATTAGATGGATTCAGGAACAGACACGTCTGTTTACTCTGCAAAGAAGACTTATAATAGGCTGATTGGCAAGGTTGATTACTCACATACACACACACATGCGGGCACACTTGCAGCACACACACATTCATTCAAAACCCCATCTGTTGATTAGCTTATTATTGTTGCCTTTACAACACACATCTCCTTTCCATTTGCTTGTCTTCCAAATTCAGATGTAAAGTCCGACTCCCTCGGCCTGTTGGACACATTTCCCATTAGAAGTGACCCAGAGAGCTTGCTATCAGAGAAGGTGTGTAACTAAACCCCAGCATAGGAAAGTAAGTGGAGCCGCACTCAGGCAACTACCCCAAAGGCACGGGGAGTGCTCTGGTTACCCGACTGTATGTGTGTGTGTGTGTGCATTGTTTCTACTTACCTGTCTTTATGTGTCACAGAAAGAGGCGAAGAGCAGGAGCTCAGAATAAAGTGCAGAGGCAGAGAAAGGCAGGATTATACACATGGCAGGTTAGAAAAAGGCAGAGAGAGAGAACGAGAGGATGGGAGGAAAAAGCAACAGAGAGAGGCTTAAGATTACAGAGGCGAGCACCCTTTGTTGCTGAGTTCAGTTGTGATGGACGGCTTATGTTTAGGGAAAGAGTGAAGGAGTCCTTCAATGCGCTACCATAACATTTGCAGGACCGCTGAGGATGTTCTTCTTCACTGATCAAACTTTTGTCTGACAAACGAAGCACCTGGACTTCAAGGAAGGTGAAGAAGAGGGGTCAGAATATTGGATGTGATCCAACGACATAAGCGAAAGGAGCCTACGGAGGGGCAAAAACAAAAAACCCAGGGGGGGCTAGTCAGGGGGGGCGGCCAGGTGATTGAGCCTTCAGGGTGAATAACAAGTCAAGCAAGAAGAGGAGTGAGGCTGAGCACTGTTCAACGAGAGAGAGAGAGAGAGAG